TTAGTCTGTCGGGATAACTGTCAGCCATTTCGAGCGCTGATCGCGATAACATCGTATATTTCGAAGCGAATGCCGAAAGCGCTAAAAGAGCCAGGAGAATCGCGAACGAATGAAGCGACCACACGTGGTACTCCCAGTGAATCATTTCTGTAACCCACAGTTAGCCATGGTTATCCCTCAGTAACCCCTATGCTGCCTCCAATACGTGGTCCATTCGCGCGATATGACCCCACCTGTCCCCTTTGACCTCTCCACCTCGCGGATGACAAAACCCTTGACACTCTATATCGAACACATTTTTGACAATAACAATCAGCCAATCGACGATTGGTTATTGAACTTTTATTGACATCCGACGAGGACGAAAAATCAATTTGCGGATGTCGCCATTATGTATCCAGCATCCCAACGTTCTCACGGAACGCTGACGAGTTCGACAGTTCGCTTAAGAGGACGTTCGTTTAAAAGAAATTTTATTCGACGTCCGACGTCTCTATCGACGACGTCCCGTCACTCTCGCTCTGATCTTCCCGTCTTCTATGATCTTCGACACCTCCCTCGCACCTCCTCCTCGTCCGGACTAGTTTGACTGTCATTACCCGTCAAAGTGGATTTACTTGCACGTTCATCCTCGAATACGATATTAGGTGACATTAAATTGTCCCGGTTTCACCTGGACTAGGTATACCTAACGGAAGAGGTTGATGAGCAGGAAGTATCTGAGAGTCGAAAATTCTTAAAATTTCATACGCGATGTGGGTAAGGGGTGCCGAGTACCTGGTGTATACATGATTCATCCCATATCGTGTGTCACCCAGGTCGATGGCCCATTGTACCTGATGAATGATGATCTTGCTCGTAGGAGCTCCGCTTCCTCTTCGAAGACGATGAACTGCTCAAGACGTTAGAAAGACGCACGTGCTCGCCACGCGGGAGCTGATCTTCTTCGAGGAGTCTCCATTCAGTTCACCAAGTACTCTTTGTCGCGCTCACCGGAAACGGATGTGGCACGTGCACTAATGGCTGGTCGCTCTCCCTCGATCTCACATAGTTACGTCAAGACCCGACCACCTGTCCAGGACACGTGTCGATGCGAGGGTGGTACCACTGTGAAACAGCTTATACCTTTTACTTGGGTATTCTCTTAAATAAATGAGATCACGGATGGCTGGCTCGCAGGACGTTGCTTGTCCTACGCCATTAACCGGGCTTCCCATATGGCGAACGAGAGAGAGAGAGCGAGAGAAAGGAAATAAAAAATTAAGATGCATGAAAAAAAGAAAGTCTATAGTAGTTCCGACAGATATATTCGTTCTGTTTTTTTGTTTTCTTTTCCACGAGGTCTCGCGGTTTCGGCAGTTCCGGCCAGGCCTAATGGCTTAATGGCGAATCGATGTTCGGGTCAAACGCTGGTTACGCTCGTGTTATACGGCAGATACACGACTACCCGACGATTATATACGTCTCGTAGCGAGACACAAAGTGGTTTTGATAGTCTTATCTTATCACGCGGAAACACTCTTGCGTACCCTCGACTCTCGGCTCGGTTCGAGTCTACTCAGCCAGACAGAGGATCCATTTATTCGCAAACGCCAAGGCCGAGGGGTTAGCGCGCACCCGGTGAACATACCCGAGGACAGCCGAGAGGACTCTGGATCAACGTGATTCCTTCTCCTTTCCATCTCCTCCTTCTTTCCTCCCTTTCCGGAGGAACCGGAGAGACGTGGATATACATGTATTAAAGCGTAAGACGAAAAAGCAATGTATAACGGTAAGGTCGCACGAGACGGTAGGCATGAAACTCTCGGCACTATAAGACTCGACTTAATAAATCCATTCGGTCTCTTGGCGAATTGGACATGGACAAATCTGCGATATGACAAAAACTCCGAAGGAGTTATCACTAGGGTTTCGGAGAGTGAGGAACATCGGACCGGCCAATGTGGGAAGAGCGAGATATCGCCGGTCGCTCTGCGATTTGTCAAAGTCGCCCTGCGCCCCGACAACGAGACTGGACGACTCTTCTTCTTGTTCTTCCTTCATCTCCTCCTACTTATCCTCCTTCTCCTCTTCATCTTCTTCTCGTTCTACTCTGCTACTTCTTCTTAGCTTCTTCCTTCTCTCTCTCTCTCTCTCTCTCTCGCTCTTCCCTTATCCCCTCGGCTTCCTCTTCGCTTCTGCTTCTTCTCATTCAGCATCTCAGGGATCTGTTGTCAGAGACGCTGGATAGACGACGGTGTCACGTCGAAGGAGATCAGCCATTAAGAAAAGGCGAGAACGGTTTGAAATCGCTCTTGTAAAAAGATCTCGAAGAAGAGACGCGTCACCTTTCTTTAGGAATCTGCCAAGGGATGAATGGTCCAGAGTGTTCTGCCATAGAGGGATGATACCGCCTGTGCCAGGATAACGATTGTTTCCTGGAGTGATCACCAGCCGAGACCGTCTGCTCTGACGTTTTCTTTCGTCTTTTCTTACTTTCTTGTGCTCTCTCCCCCTCTCTCTCACTCTCTCTCTCTCTCTCTCTCTCTCTCTCTCTCTCTCCTGTCTCTCTCAAAAAAAAAGATGACCCACGATTTTTCTTGTATAACGAATGAAGTGTCCCTTCTCCTTGAGGGGTCGCAACTTCCGTACCAAAGCGTAGGTTGCGTTCCGAGGTAAAAAGCGCAAGAGCGACGAGACGCGGAGAGGAGAAGAGAGAAGAAGAGAGGAGAGGAGAGAGCCCAGCGCTCGCTTGACATTTGTACATAGCAGATGCCGCAAAACCACCAAGCCCGCAGCACCGAAGTTCTCCGATAGCCTGATGGTCATTTCTCATTTGTGTAATCTCTGACCAGTGACCCTATGTCCTATCCTCTATGTAACCTCACCCTCACCTAGCTGGACTAGACTGCTCTTACCATTTGTTCCGGTTGGGCATTTTGACGGAAATTATCCATCGGCATAGCCAACTATGCTACTGATGCAAGTGCACGTGCAATTCTACAGTCTTCACCTTCACACACTGATCATAATTATTCTGCATATATAATATAAACAAGGTATCAAAAAAGTTCCGCCACCTGCCTTCACCTAGTCCGTCAAGGACTATATACCTATGCAAGGAAGTTGGGACGAGTGGGATATATATATATCCTGGCTATGCCGAGGATGAACTCCATCTGGAAGTGACGTATGTACATGTACAACTATTTCGCCAGAATACAGTTCCCAAGGACGACGCAACCGTATCTGCCTATCTCATAGTGAAACGAGAGAAGACGAAGACTGGGAGTACTGAGTAAGAGTGGGGGGGAGGGGGGGAGAGAGAGAGAGAGAAAGAATCAGAGAGGCTGTGGAAAGAAATCAGTAAGAAAGAAGTAGGGCTGAGCAGTGGGGAGGATGGAGCGTATACGTTATCTCCCGCGTCGTCTAGACTCGAAGAGCCGTTCCTGGATTTTCTCCCCCGGGACCCCGGCTCTCCGGGAAGAGCAAGAGGGATGGAAGACAGTGCGACCACTGTTGGATCTCATTCACCCCACCGCCCAAGTGAATCGGCCCTCTCGTCGCCCTGAAGGATCCTAACGAAGAAGATAACGCGGCGCCAGGGTGCTCCTCTTCTTTCAGCTCTCGAAGAGGCCAATGGTCATCGTATCCCGATGATGATGATTTGCGCTCTTCTTTGCGTCATCGATTCCCAGGAAGAAGCGCTTTCTTCTGCTTTCGGTATCTCTGCCTGCTCTTTTCCTCTTGGCTCTCTCGAAGAATCGAAGAGAACCAGATTCCGAGTGAGAGAAAGCGAGTAACTAATTGAGGGACACAGACCCTCTTGAACCGTCACAGGAAATATAACTTAGGAGGTATTTGACTGGGGGCAGGAATCATATAAAAACGTAAAAATAGTGGAATATTAAAATAATAATAATAGTAAGACAATATCAGAGAGAAAGCTCTCTCTTTTTTGAAATCGAACCGATCTGCCATACTACCCTACCAGGGTAGCCAACCTAGTGATTGGAATCCCTAGAAAGGGGCGTCTCGACGCTACGTGGGTACCCAGCGTCGTTATCACACGACTCCATCTCTACAGAGACTGATAAGCCTGGCTGTGGCTTGATAACGTCACAGCTATATACAGATAGTACCAAGGCATCAGGGTTCCTGCTTATCCAAGTCGAACTGCAGTACAAAGTCCGTAGTCTCTAAACTGTCCTTACCTTGCATAAAGGAGATTCCTATACAGTCGACTCTACTATCTCTTCGAAATTTTATTTTTTTCTCTTTTTTTTTTCTTTTTTCTTTTTTTTTCTCCACTCTCTTTATTCTCTCGCTCTTTCAGTTATCACTCCCACGTTGTCTATTTCACCACGCGCCTTCGCTCCAGTCACGAAACTCGCGAATGATCGTGGATACGTTTTCAGTGTTAAAAAAAAAAAAAGAGAAACACGTCCTACAGGCCTCGTTATCATTCCTATCGTAGCTAATATCGTACCCGGTCTAACGACGTAATGCGTATACCGTTATAACCTTATCGAATTCGCTATCGGCTAACTTACCTCCTGGACTTTCAGTATGCCATAGCAAAAGCACGTGTAAGCCAGGTATACATATATATCAGCAGAGTGCAAAAGCAGCAGCTGGAACGTTTTTTCGATATCAGGCGACGTACATACATGCGTACGGGATGCCTGACCTAAGGTATTTCTTGCATACAAAGAAACGAAGGTGAATTGGCTGGAGTGGAGGTGGTAACGGAAAAAAAATAAATAAAAAAAAACTATGGAGGAAGAAACGGAAAGAAAAGATGGAGAATTGTGTTGCTGCTGGGTAGCGGGAGGTGGAATGTTTGTTAGTTGTTATCGGCAGCTCGGGATACGAGGGAGTATTGGAGAGAAAGAGAGAGAGGGAGAGAGAGGGAGAGAGTGAGAAGAGGAGAGTCGAGTGATAACAGGTAGTAGCCATTGCCAGGGTTCTCTTGGCTGCTTTCGTAACAGTGATAGGACTTCTCGACAGCCGTGAACGTCTCTCTACGACTTTTCTACTTTCTCCCAATTTTCTTTCTCTTTCTTTTGTTTTTAATTTCGTTTATTCTTAATTTTTTGACTCTCGATACTCTTTTGTGCTTCTCGGACGATAACGCATCGCGTTGCTTTATCGTTATCAATTTGACGATTATAATATTTTTACTTATATCTAGATCGATTAGATGATGATCTCCGATCGTTGAGCTGTTATCAAAAAATTACGTGATAGCGTACGTGCGATAAGTGCAATTTCGATTCAGCGACGCGCACAGGCGTATCAGAATTGTACGTGATTCGGATTATCCACGTTAACCGGACGAATGTGAGTCAAGAAATTTTGGACGGATTGGATTTTCGGATAATTTTGAAAATGTGATGCATCTTCCTTTTTCGGATGGCTTTTTTTCTGTGTGAAGTGTAAAGTGGATTGATCGATTTTGTGATGTTTTCGATGTTTGTCAAGTGTTGTTTTGAAAATGGTTGTAAGATGTGAAAAGGTGCGTGATAACGCCTCCTGAAAGAAGAGGCTTTGGGTTTCTGTTATCACTTTTTTTTTTTTTTTTTAAGTAATCGAATCTTAAAAATCCAAAAATAAAGAATCGACAAAGCTCGAAAGTGATAGTGTCAACGTATAGAAAAATGTGAAAAATTACGTGAGAGTCAGTTACGCGCGAAGCAACTACCAAGGATTCTGTGATCCTTGACCGTCAGGAGGATCGTCAGGAGGCTTCCTGCGGGCAGCCTGATTTATTGGCAGGATGAGTGTCCTGCTTTGGCGACAACGTAGAGCCAGTCTACGATCTACGATAACCGCGATTTCTGGATCGAGTGAGTTATCCGGTAGATCCTTTTCTAGAAAATTCAAAAATTCTCAGAAGATCGTTATCAAAGGGGTACTTTTGACAATGTTAAATACCACGTGACAAGAAGATTGTTATCAGCCCATAATCGCACTGATAAGATCTTAATTTTTATATAGTATATGTATACTATCTGAGGATTTTCTTACTAATCGAACAATATCATGATTATTACTGTCAACGTTCTCTATTTTCGATAAACAAAAAATAATAGTCATTTGTCGATTGGCGAAAAGATCTCTTATTTCATCGCTCCTAATCAAAGATTATAGAATAGTTATCAATGGAAGATTGTTCAAACTTGTTTTTCATCCCTTCTACATTATACGTCAGTATCATTGATTCCTCGGTCTATCGATTGATCGATATCGATCTCGTCCAAGCGTCATGTACATACGATAACCATATAACAGACGTAAACCAAGAGATTCCGATTACGTGAATACATACACCGTAATCACATAACCTATCGAGTAATGCGTACCTTGAATTATTGGTAGGTGCCTTAATCGATAAATTGTGTATCCAGAAATCGAATCGAGCTATCGTTGCACGATCGATCGAACTAATCGATCAGTTTCCGAGACAGGTCTTAATGTCCGAAATTGACTAGAATAATGGGGGGAAAAAAAAAAAACATTTATCCATTATTCAGCATCTTCGTAAGATTAGCAAGAAGGCAAATAAAAAGGACCCCCCGCAAAAGAATTTCAAATGTCTACGTCTTAAAGCTTCGCCACGAAAGACCCCCTCTAACGATACGAAAGATAACACAGGGAAGTTTGAGTTAACCAACAAGCAAATTAACACGTGGGAGGGTCCCGATCGGCCACTAAGATAAATGTGCAATGGGTTCGCACATGAAGTTTTGCACACAGCGCATAACACATCAGCAGCGTAACTACAAGCCTAAAGACTGATCACGTCAACCATACATTTTTTGACTATCCTTTATCAGTATCCTGACGAATAAGCCCAATAAGCGTAATACATGAAGATTCAAACTTTTCCACTGAAGACGTATAGTTGGGCATTTCTCAGACATTTTCCCTTTCTTTTATTTTTTTTTATTTAATCAACGGCAACGATCCAAGCGGGTCCATTCGTATCTTTTCATTTAGCGATAGCGAAATATTAGAGCAAACAAATGGCGTTCTATCGTCCCTAGCATAACCTTAAATGAAAGAATGAAGGAGCCAGACGGCTCGCACGCGGCATATATATATGTATATATATATATGTACATATATACCATGAAATATATATACACGTTCCAGGAAAAGGCTGATAAGCCATACCGATAGAAACGGGGCCAAACATTTACCCGCGATAAGATCCCCTATCTCCTGAGAACTCGGCGTTTTTACATTCGCCTCGTTGGCTGGCCTGACTTGGCCGGCTGTACGAGAGTCACAGTATACACGATAGAAAGAGAGAGAAACAAGGGGGAAAAAATGAAGAAAGAGCAAGAGAGCCAAAGAGAGGTCGGTTCGCCAGGCATGGCTCCGTAGTACTGGCTTCAGATAGAGATAGCTATTTTTAATGGAAGTTCCTTCGAGTGCTCGAGTACCGATAGCCGCGCGCCTATCTGGCTGTAGATATTTTTAATATCGGGAACGGGACGTTGGGTTATGGTGGCGACGCGGTATGGAAGGTGGATGCTGCGTATCGAGATAACTAAGAAATCAAGTCTGATGTCGATCTCATAGAAACGCTACGAGCCGTTTTCTAGGTTTACACGTAGAATTAATATTTGTGAATACAAATTTTGAAAAAATGATTTAATATAAAAATATGCAAATTTTAGCCAACGACCATAACACATATATAGATATATATATATATTTATAAAGAAATTTTTTTTTCCATAGGCTTTCTCTCTCCCATATATAACACATTGGGTATCTGCCTTGAACATAAGGGTTCGTCGTGATTGGCCACGTCGATCCTGTCGTTCCTCGTATCCCCATGAGGCGTCCCGAGACTATCTACCATCTAGAGCCAACAACAATTAGCCCGAGGTCAGAGTTCGATCCCTCGCAACGTGGTGGGCGGAGAGGATCGCATCGAGAGCAATCTGAGTAAACAAATCATAAACTGACCGAACCTCCATAACCGAGAGTCGATCCCGTAGTTATCCTAAAGGTATCTCAATGTACGAGTCGCTTTACCATCGTGTATTAGGTATACGACCTTGTGAGCTAAAATAGTTTATGCATCGCTAGTGACACGTGGATGGACGGGAAACACGTGTATTTTACATGATGGAATAAACGTGCGACTCGAGTACAGGTAATAGAATGAATTTTCGAAAATTCATTCCTCGCAAATTGTACCACGGGGATTCCTCGGATGGACGAGGGGCGAACGGAACAGTCCGATTAACACGTTGTTTGTATAGGGGAATGTATAATAACAGGTTACGGGCATAGGTACCCATTTGTATCTTCAGGAGGGCATCTCGGGTTCTCATCCCAAGGAGTGGATGGTTCGCTTGCACCAGCTCTGCTATCTACCAAGGATCACGCACCCACCTCCTCCTGGTGCATACTCACGACGACGTAGTCGCCGTCTCTTTCTCTCTTCTTCTCGGTGCACCTGGTGCTCATCGTCTTGATCTATCTTGCCTAAGGGCCCACCTCCTGGCTCTTGGTAAGAGACCTGGTGCACCTTTCTTCCTCACGGTCTATCTATACGTAAGCTCTCTGGGTTACTCTTACACGCCCTTGGATCCCGGCTGAACGGAATGGTATTATCAGGGTGGGATTAGATAAAAGTCTTTATAAAGAAAACACGGTGAGTCCATGTTTAAAATGGCTGAGAATCAATGCCGGGTAAGATCTGACGTCGATAGGTCCAGCCTCGCGCATAACCACTCTTCATAACTTACATGCTGTGTACTGATCTTTCTCTTGCCCGAAGCTGCGAACTGACTCATCGTCGATTCGTGCTAACTCAATGCCATTGTAACGTCAGGTATATACATATAGAGATAGTGGATATATTATTGGAACTTTTTATTTTCATTAATTCAATCGATCTTCGATTAGAGGATTTAGCTTGGCTTGTATATCCATCATATAGGTAATTGATACAGAGTCTGTTTAATTGCATTGATTATCGACTCTTTTCGTCTGACAACTGTCAATGACCGATCGAGTCGTATCGCTCCTTTGGCAATTTTGCGAATATGTGTATTAAAAGAAAAAAAAAGGAAAAATTCATGATAATCAGGGAAAGACTGAAGGGACTGCCAAACGCTTCTGTCTGGTAGTGGAAGGGGGATGAAAACTACCCTCGCGGATCTCGGTGGTGACTGGCGGCGGCGACCGCGTGCGCTTCGCGATAAGCTCTGCCAGTCCTCTGCTTTCCCTCCCTTAAACTTTCAGGGGTGTTTCACCCCGTTACCAATCTATCCCTTGGCACCTATATGACTGTACACAGACAGTTTTACAGTCATCGGTCCCTGACAGGGATCGATCGCCTTTCTACAGTCTCTTGCAGCCTGATTATTTAAGCGACTCGTACGCGCCATTTCCATTTCACCAGATTGGATATCTAAAGAGCATCTCGACTCTGATAGATAAGTCTATGGATGAACGTTATCTAAGTCGGATAAGACTACGAGATATAATCCCATTCAAGTCTCGCGGGATACATTATTTCGTAAGAGTGTCTAAGCACGGAAACCGGTATCTCCTGCCGCGGTTCACCGAGTTCCACAGCATCTTCCAGCATCCAGCAGCTCTTAGACGGCAGCATCTTTATCGAGTGTAGCGTGCATTATGGCCTCCGGCTGTCGCTGATTGATATACAAAGTTGACAAAGTGTGACGTCAAGAAACAGGAGGGGCGGTACGCCAAGGTAATGGTGCGGTAACGATATCTCCCCATTGTCCCATAGCTATGGGAAAAAGGGGGTGTGCTACTCGCCTGGTCCATATCTGTCTCGAAGGAAGATTCGCATCCATCCAAAGACCAATGACGGCTTGTTCGTTCTCTATCTCATTAAAAAAAAATTAGAACCCTAAAAATTATCACTATAAGCCAGCACCCAGTCTAGGGATATATTGGTACATCGGACAGTTATTGATTCTTGTGACAGATTTTTTTTTTTTTTTTTTTTTAAAAAAAATTTCATA